CTTTCTTGGCCTTGAGTTCAGCGATTGCTCGCTCACGCTTAGCGATAGCCTTCTCACATTCAACAGTGATGGCTTGGTTTCAATAACCTGATCTTTAAGATTTTCCTCGACATAGGTCATTTCTTTGATCTTAGAATGGAAAATCTTCAATTGCTCTTCAAGATCAACGTTAAGCATTTCTGCTTTCGATTTGCCATTGAGGGCATTGTAAAGGTCAACTGTCATTGTATGCAGTGCAGAAAGACTAGAAGAAGAAGAAGAGGGCTCATTCAGGAAACATACCTGAGTAGAAGAAGAAGATGGCTCAGAGGAAGTAGATGCTTCTAAAGATCCTTCATTTGCATCTATGGCCATCAAGCAGACATAGGCTTTATTCTTTTCATTCGAGGATGATTCATCGGATGACTCAGCCCAGTCATGCTCTTTAGTAATAAGGCCTTTTGCCTTTCGCTGGTTGTTCTTCATCTTCTTGTATTTCTCCTTCAGTTTTGAGTATTTCTCATCTTTGGTCTTGAAGGAGGAAGGAGCTTTAGAAGATGGTGGCGTAGTTTTCTTTGATCTTCATTCACCTACAAAGTGTCTGAGCCAATGACAGTTGTAGCAGATAGTTGAAGCTTTGTCTATTCTTTCAAACTTTGGCTTTTCTCTAAGGGACAGCTGAGGAGATCTGCGGAAGTTGCTCTTACTGGCGAACCTCCTAAATGACTTAGTCAGGAGTGCCAAGGACTCATCAAAATCTGTTAAATCAGATTCAGGAATATCCTCAGAGATAGAAGAGTCTATCTCCGTGATAACAATGAGAGGAAGAAAAGAAACAAAAGGGGTAGAAGAAGTTTCAACTGAAGAAGCTTCAGAGATCAAAGCCAAATGAGAGCTTTTCATTTCACTGGAATCTTTTACAAGATTCCTCTTCAGTTGACGAGATTGCTCATGGACATGTCATTTGACATATTGAGACACATGGAAAAGGTGTCCCAAGACTCAAGAAGGCATTCTAGAAACTTAATTAAATTTTCAGAATTAGAATATTCCCTGCCGACAGCCCTAAGATCAATAAGAAGGCAGTTAAATCTTTGATGTACTTCA